CCATGGCGACATCAAAGTATAGCTTCTGCCGTGCGGATATCACCTCCCGATCCCCGTCTCACCTCCATCCCACAGGTCGAGATATTCTGCGAGGCAGTTCCCAAGGCCGCCGAGGTCCGCTGCCTTCTCATTGCCCTCCTTACAACCGCTCGACTCACTCCGACTCCTTGGCAGAACTTCCTCGCGCTATGTGCTGCGGGCTATTATGACAACACCCTCTGGCATCGCAACATCAAGGGCTTTATGATACAGACCGGCGATCCCTCTGGCTCCGGCAAGGGCGGTCAGAGCCTATGGGGGAACCCCTTCGCAGACGAAATTCGTTCCACCCTCAAGGTACACCGCCCATCCTTGCCTATCCTTCCACACGGCGTCGGCTCCGAGTCCATCTCGCGTTCATCACGTTCAATTGACCGATATCTCGTTCTGCCAACAGTTCAACAATCGAGGCATCCTGGCCATGGCAAACTCGGGGCCAGACACTAACAAGTCGCAGTTCTTCATTACCTACTTAAAACAGCCGCATCTCGACGGCAAGTACACCATCTTCGGAAAGGTACCTCAGTGAACCATCTGATGTCGTGCTCTACTCACTGTCTTTGCTCCACCAGGTGATTGATGGAGCAGACTCGACGCTCGATGCCATGGAACGCGCACCAGTGAATGCAAAGAACAGGCCCCTCAATGAGATCCGTACCACACATGTACGTAACGCGATCGCGTCAACGGTTCGGCATTTACTGCGGGCGAGCCCATTGCGCACGTCCGCCGTGGTACGACACACATTTGTCATGATGTACTGACCACCATCTGTCCATTTTCAGGTGACAATCCATGCAAATCCCATCGCAGACGCGCAACTCGCCGGGCGGTGATTCGAGCGGCCTGCATGCATCCCCATTCCGTGCATCGTACGCAATACCAGCCTAAATGCAACATTGCATGTGCTCACTGGATGTACATCGAGCACAGGCCTCCCTATCCTCAACCGAGTGCATTTACCCTGAGGAACCATCATCTGTGTACGCTCCGCTCCGGTCATCGTCGGGTTCGGTCGTGGTCTCGGACGCTCCGCCACTGCAGGCTGCCTTCGCCGCTTCGCTATCGTGCGCCCGGAGTTCTCCCTTGTCCCACGAGCGGCAGCTATTGTGCAATACATCTGTGACCTGTCATCTCCTCCGGGCCCCCTCAAGCTACTACTTATCTCCGCTCTCCCGGCCCCCATCGCAGCCTGTACCGGCGCATGCACGGAGGCGTCATCATGATCATCTGGCATCTGCGTGTCGCCCCAAACCGGTGCGTCTTTCCAGCACGCAGTGCGCATACATACAGTACTTGTGACTCGCCCTCCATGGAACTGGATTCCGACGCGCCGCGGTTCGTCCGCGCGCTCTCATGGGACAGGCACCCGCTGTCCGCGCTCCCGCCAGGAAGCAGAACCTTGTCGGGCATGCGTGAAGGCTCCGTGGATCAGGACCGCGGCTACCGCCCCCGCCTTTGACGCACGCATATGCATACTGTAATGCACAGCGTGTGGAGACTTCCAACAGCTTCCAACCCACTCGCCCGACGGGATGAGCTTCCGTGCGTACATGTTCTGCGTGTGGCGAGCGGCGGCGGCGAAGGCATGGGAACGTTGCCGCATGAGGCTCGTACTAGGGCGTCAGGCGAGTGCGCCATCCGTGTTGCGTTGTACGGTGCACGCATGCTGGCTATGACCTGACCCACGAGTCCTGGATCTTCGAGGTGTGGTCCGCTCGGGGTGCGCTCGAAGGCCCAAGGGGCGGCGGCGTTCGTAAAGCTCCAGAAGTTCCGGGGCGCGACCTCTCCAGGCTTCGCTTCTCCATCTGCTGTTGGAGTCTGTGCATAGCTTAGACGAACCCCGGACGGCTGTCGCTCGCCTTCGCGAATGCTTATGCAGTCCTTCCTCCTTCTCAGGCTAGGCCTGGCCATCTGGTGTCGAGTGCTGTGGGGCTTCGACGTACTCCTTCCCGCCAACGTTAACGGGCCCCTCCATTACTCACTAAGTAGCCTCCTCCAGTTTGTGTCCCCACTTCGGTGTCTATGCAGGCTACGATCAGCAGAGCCCCGTACGCAGCCTCGAGGAGAGACTCTGACGTGCAGCGCCCTTCGAAGCTCGCGATACGTACACTATGCTGCTGCCTGTTAACTGCCACCATGGTCACCCATATCGCCGTCCTCGGGGCGTCCGCCACCCGGATCTTTCAGAGCATTTCTCGTGTAACGATCAGCGCTGGGTCTCCCTGAACCACCTCGTCGATCGTGGCGGCCATGTGTCTGTGTCTGTGTCTGTGTTTGTGTCGGTCTTGTCGGCACAGAGAGATCTCGCACACCGTCTGTACCTGTACTTACCATAGAACGAGCCGCTCGACCCCGCGGCGTGGCGTGGCGTCGCGGTCAGGTCTGCGACGCCACCGTGCCACAATCCAACTCGACGGTGTCAGCACTGTCAGTACATGAAGGCTCCAGGAAGACTTTCTGCTTGTCGTGATCCATTGGTTGGAATCCGGGGATCTACAGGTGCCGTTCCGTACTGCACCGCGCCAAAGACAGCGAGTGCATATGAATACGTGCAGGACGCGATGCATGCAAATGAGCATGAGGTGTGTCTCCGGACCCGCCGACATCACTCCGCGGAGTTCAAGGGTCCTGGCAGGGTCCACGTCGGTGTCCGCCGACTCAGTGTCAGGCAGCGGGCACTGCCATGGCGACGTTTTAAGCTTCGAGGCTTTGGATTCTTGGAATGCCGGAGTACCTCACGACACGGCCGCCGACCTCGCCAGGCGCGTTGTGGATGGTAAGTACTTGCGGAGATAACGTTGCGCGTTGAACGCTAGCGCTGGGAAGATATTTTGGATAATGTTTATTATCCAGGGTCTATGCAGCGTTACTCGTCACACCCGCCGGACAATGCGTCCTTTGTCCTTTCCGGTATATAGTCCTGGGTTCCGCACCCAGTGAGCTCTCGTCCCCTCCTCGCCCGGCAGCTCGTACTCGACGTCGAGCTTTCTTTTTGCATGCTGCTCTGTGCACACCGCGTTCATCCGTGTTGCCGACAGCTGCATTCACGGGCGCTGGCACGCCACCGGGACCACCACATTCTAATGGTGCTGACGGACGAGTGGCACCCTCCCCCTTCGAGGTCGCACCGCGCCGCTCCGGCTCCCCCAGCATCCACTCACTCGGCGATCCGCTCGTCACCACTCCGGGCTATACGCCGTCGCGAGTCCGCCTCTGCACGGCCCACCCGAACCTCTCTCGGCGATCCGTTCGCCCCCACCCAGCCTCCGCGGCTCTTCTATGGTGATCCGCTCACCGCCAATCCGAGTTGCGGTCCCCTGAGCCCTGCTCGCTCTGCGCGGACCCGCACTCTCTCTCCCTCCTTGGCGATCCGCTCGCCGCCACTCCTTCCGGGTCCGCCCCCGGGCCGCCCGGGCCCGTCCTACATCAGCGTCTCCGCGACGTCCCCCCGGCTGCCTTACACGCCGCTATCCTGAGCAGCCGTACATCTTGGCCCGCGCGTCCGTACGCACGCCTCGCGGTTCTCGCCATTCGCCTCAGTCGACCACAACCGCCATCACCCAGTGGCTCAGCCGGGGTCGTCTCCCCTTTGCCTCCCCCCTGGGCAAATTTACTATTCCTCTCCCTTTGGGCCGATCCTCACACTCAGCCTCCCGAGCCTCCGGCTCTTCACTTCGCTTCCTTTCTGGCTTGAGCTCGGCCCACCGGTCGCGCGAGAGAGCGGTGGCGACGCGGTCTCGGTGGTCACGCGCCGCTTCCGCAGCGCGCGCTCAATACCATCGTCTTCCGCCCTGCCCGAGTATAGCGTGCATAGATATTTTGGATAATGTTTATTATCCAGGGTCTATGCAGCGTTACTCGTCACACCCGCCGGACAATGCGTCCTTTGTCCTTTCCGGTATATAGTCCTGGGTTCCGCACCCAGTGAGCTCTCGTCCCCTCCTCGCCCGGCAGCTCGTACTCGACGTCGAGCTTTCTTTTTGCACCCGCCCTGCCGCATTCCCCCTTTTCTTCTAGTCTCTACTTAGCTACATCCCATGTACTAGGTACATTCGCTTCCGCCGGCTTGAGCTCGGCCCACCGGTCGCGCGAGAGAGCGGTGGCGACGCGGTCTCGGTGGTCACGCGCCGCTTCCGCAGCGCGCGCTCAATACCATCGTCTTCCGCCCTGCCCGAGTATAGCGTGCATAGATCCTAAAATTACGCAACCTATGCTAGAGGAGAAGAGATTGATACGAACGAGTGGACGTCGACGAGATGGAATGAGCGACGTGGGTGTTGCGGTGGTGCATGGAAGTGCGCGCGCGGGCATCGACAGGACTCCGCGCGTACCAAAGCCCTACGCCTAGAACCCATGGCCAGATGGTGTGAAAGGGATTATCGAGGAGAAGGTGTCTCCGGTTGAGTTGGATGTCAGAGACGCAGCGTACATAAGCTCGTGGTAGAGCACGATTTCTCCATACACCTTGCTTCCGGCAACGTAGAGCGTCGGGGGATCGTGACCGTGAACGCCGGTTTTCCTGCAGCCGGCAGCGCCAGTGAGTACGCAGACATGGCGGCATGTTGACCTGTTGGCAACGACAACGCCGAGTACGTGGAGTGCGATGTGCCAGCAAGCATCTTTCCCAAGCTGACGACACAGAGAGAGAACTAGACAGGGAGTGAAGATGACCGGTCGAGCGAGCGTCAGTGCAAACTCGAGGCTCAAGGTCGCAGACGGACTGGCGGTGGATATATGCATCGTTGGCGACGGAGAATCCGGCCGCCTGGTGAAGATGACGCGGGCCCAACCATTCTAGCAGAGGTTAACGTTGCTAATCGTCCCGCCCCTTGGGGAAAGCGTAGTACTAGTAACCGAAATTGAGATCAGATATCCATAACTGCGGGCGCACCGTAAGTATTTACCAGTACATAGTGTATGTACGCGTACCTGTTGCAGCGTGCGGAATCAACTTCAGCGTCCTTGTCGATTAGTGGTTAGATCATCACGTTGTGGCCATCGCAAAGACTCGGGAACGGGAACCGTGAAGACGGAGGCTCGAATCCTCCCTGGGACAATGTTTTGCTAGCACCAACTACATGTATGTCCTGCCTCACGGTCGATTGCCCGACGAACGCACTCATGTCTTTCCGAACGACATCAGCGACCAGATTGCCATCCTGCAATCTTGTCCACCAGAGATTAGCCACCGGGTCCGCTCCGTCTTCTCGTCCTCCGTCATCTCATCATCCTCATCATCCTCGGTCGCTGCTGACGAGGCGGAACGCGCAGGAGCCTGAGGCTCGGAGCGCGCGAATGCGACCGCTTGGCAATTCTTCTTGTGATAGCTCAGTGTGCCGAGGGGTTTGAACGTCTTCGTCGAATACAGTCGGATTCTGCACCAGGGCCTGTTACTATCACGACGTCTGGTCCTGGGACGATCGAGCTGCTCACCGGCCATCCCACCCTCCGACTGCACACACACGCCCATCGTCCTGGATCGACAGCGAGGCGTTCCCGGGGTGTTTCGTGCGATGGACCGTACACGCCGACGCGAGCAGCTCCGCGTGTTCAGCGTCCTGCGTCCATCTCAGCCCCGACCAATTCCATACGGGAACTCTGAATCGTGCAGCGACCACTCACAGCGAAGTTGTACCGCCCGACCAGGTTATCAGCTGAAACGGTCAGCGCAAAGGAAGTGTCTTTCGACACGGACATCGCCATCACTGCGGCGTGGACATGTCTGTCGGCTGAGGACGAGAGACAGCCTGGAAGATGACAACGTACCGGACTCGACGTGCAGCTTGACAGACCAGAGAATGTCCCACCCAATCCCCTCGATGGACACCTCCTTGTCTTCACGGGCGTACTCCCGCATCGTCACGCTCCCGTTCTCGTACCCGCACAGCAGCCGCAGTCGTGTGCGCCCCGCCGCCGCGTGGGGGTGCGGCACTTGGAGTAGGTGCATCGACATGATGATCCCTGCTTGCGCGGTCAGTATCGCGCCAGGACACAACACACATTGATGCTCAGGGCTACCGATTGGGTTCCGGACGTCCCGGCCGTCTGTGGGGACAGGAGCTTGTCCTGCCTTCCCGATGGCAGCGTGCAGCCTCTGCTTTCCCGGTAAGGTCCAGATGTCCGCCTGTCGTGTCGTGCACCGCATGAGGTGAGTGCGCAGGCACACGACAACTCGTCGCTCGACGTACGTACGTGTGCAGACTCGACCAGGTTTGGCACCGCGACGAGGGCGCGGCGGTCGTCCGTGCGCGCATCCTCGGGCAACGGCAGGAGCGAGAACCGGCAGAAGTTCAGCGCGTTCACGTCGAGCGAGCAGCGTACCTCCGGGCTCTGCAGGCCGGGGAGCGCGGCGGACCCTCCTAGGGCCTGCGCACGGGGCGGTTCCAGTTCATGGACGCCTTGCCAGACGTGCAGCTTGTTGTCCCTCCCGTGTCTGCCGTGTCGCAGGATGGCGGCACGGGCGGGAAGAGTGTGCACATATGCAGATCAGCTCAGGACTGTGAATGTGACGAAGGGGGAGGTGCACGGACGGACGTGATGATAGAGCCCTCCCACTCCTGCACGCCGAGCAGACCGTCGTTGTGCGCCTTCCAATGTGCGACCGCGCGCAAGCTGCGAGTCGATGTCACAACGACCGTGCCCTCCGCATCACCAGAGTAGATCCGCTCGTTGTCGTTGGAAATGTAGATGACGTTGACCTGCGCGCCGTGACTTCGGATGAGGTGCTTGGGAGTTGGAGGCGGGGGTGCCGATGCAGACATGGGTTGTGGAAATACACCTAGTCCTAGCAGTTGGCATTCAACTGTAGCTGAGTGGAGCTTGAGTGGTCGCGGACAAGTTAAAGTTTGTTAATTGCACGGTGCACGTGCTACCAAACTCCGCCCCGATCGATCTCCGAGAAATGCGGAATCATGGGTACCAGCAAAGCTTGGGAAAAGCTGCGAAAACGGTTTGGAGTTGACGTTCAACGTTGAACAAGAGACAGTAGGTACAGTGTATTGAGATGATGGGACAGCGACGACGGCATAGCAACATAGCAAGCTATTTATCACGATGTGCGTTTTACTACTGTAATCTGGCACAGTGTAGGACTCGACGTGAGAGGCTCGAGGCTCGCAGCAGGTTGGCATTAACTGCGAGCGCCCTGAATCAAGATGGTAAGGATACAGGACATTCACAAAAAGGATTGAAGGAGTATACATATGGCGGCGAACGTGGCACGAGGACTGGGGGGTGATCATGCCACTAACTGATTCCTCTAGGGAGCGTCTGCCCTGGAGACGCAAAGAATGTAACGGAGATTGCGCGCCGTGGCGCAAGCAAAAGGGCGACGCCGCGCCTGGTATCAATGAGGGGAGCCCGTCGTAAACCCGCCGGAGGGTAACAGACATCTAGTAGCAGAGACAATTGCGACGGAGAGACGATATCGCCGTCACGGTCAGAAGTTGGACCACGACATGACACTCTCCCGGTGGTTCGCACGTGGCGCATCCACGTTCACGGTCACCCCGAGACTAGACACGCGCATGGGCCGCTCGGCGCGGAGCCCCTTGACGGGCTTGAGGAAGCACCACGCGGGAGCCGCGCCGAGCTCGACCTCGCCAGGTTTGAAGACGCTGTCGCGGCCGACGATGCACCAGCCGTCGTCGTGGCGCTGGACGACGGTGAGCGTCTCCCCGAGGGAGACGACGATCTCGTCCGGGAGGACGGGATCGAAGAGCTGGCGGACCTTCTTCTGCGCGGGCCCGGCGCCAGAGCCGATCGAGGACGTCGCGGAGAGCACGGACATGGTCGACATGCGCTTTGAGGCGGGGCCGCCGGACAGGGACATGACCCGGGAGGACCACGACGCGGTGGACAGGGGGCGGCCGCCCGGGGATCGCTGGCTCATACTATCGAGGGTGAGCGGCGAGGGGGGAGGGGGAGGAGGAGGGGCGTGAAGGGCCGCGGGAGCTTGCCTTCGGCTGTGTAGTGCTCGAGGATCTCGTCGCGCGACGCGCCGTGGCGCAGGACTGCGCGCTCGGGCATGACGACGTTGTCGCTCAAGAGGTGTCGGGAGAAAGAGGAGGACAACATGGGGACGCCGTGGCCGGAGCTGATGTCGAATGAAGGCCGACGGTTAGTACCGATTTGATGCACCATCATGAGACGTGAAATCACAGCGCACCTGGATGCCTTTTCGTAGACGTCATCGTAGCTCATGGAGGCCGACGCGTGCTGCTGCTCGAACTTCGCGCTTGCATGTTTCCTGTACCATCGGGTGGCGAGCCAGGCCGCGAGACCGACGGCGAGGACCGCAGCGAGGATGATACCGCCGATAATGGTTGGGCTCAACGTATCGTCTTCGCTTTCCGGATACTCTCCATCCCGGGCCATGAGAGTAACGGGTGCAGTCGCGTGAGGAGCCATTTCGGGATATTCAAGTTGGTGGGCTTTGGGAGGATATGGTGTTGGTATTTGTTCGGGACGAGGGACAGTCGTGCGCGTGTGACGGTAATGTTAAGTCGGACTAGTTCTGAATGAATGGCTGGTTCGAAAGGAAGGACAGGTGTGTTGGTCGGAAGGCGCCAAGGAAAAGGTGGTATTCCCCAGGGATTAGTATCTGGCCAACGGTCGTAAGGGAGTCCTAGCGTGTGAGGCGGCGAGCAGACACAGGAGAGGACGTCGAAAGGGGAGAGGGAGGGAGGAGGGAGAGGAGGGCTCATTGTGACGCTCACGAGCTATAGATAAGTATGCAGGTGGCACTGCGAGCGGTCTCAGTCACAGGGAAATTGACAGAAGCATGGATGTCATCGTGTCGCACGAGAACGAAGAGACCGACAAGGTTACGCGGCGTGCGCGTAGTCCGTTACTAGGGCCCCTTGCCGCCCCAATACTATATCGGGTTCCGAACTGTCCTCTTCGAGCGCGCCCGGGTCTCTCTCGCTCCAGTGTGACTGTGTGTTCCCTCTGTCCCGCCGCTATTCGCGGGACATGCATCCGCAAATGTCATGAAACATTGCAAGACCAGGGCACGCACTTGCGTTGGCTCCTGTTGGCCCTCACAGATCTGAGCTTGGTCTCAATCACCACCCATCGATTAGCCACACAGCCGTTCCATGTGCGATAACTTCTGCGCACACCCTAGGTTCGGATCAAGCCGAACAAAATATGACGCCCTCCGCGCGACCTTCCGAGTGCGCTGCGAAGCAAGCGCCGTAGGAAGGGCTTACTCCGAACCTACGCCCACCCCGCCACCCAAACCATCGCTCGCCAAAGTGGCGTCCAACTTGATCCAAGGGCGCGAGCGGGTTGGCCGCTGCAGGGTGCAGCTAGTCGGAGTTTGACGGATATCCGTGACTATCGATGTACCGCGTACAGGATGGAGATGAACCACAATTGCGAGCTCGTATCGCGAAGGAGAGACGCATGCGCGCATCTCGTCGCTTTCGTAGTTGGTACGGATGTGTGTCACGAAACAAACATGACATGCCGTTTAGCGCGGCGGCAGCAGCTACTCAACCAGGCAGAACCTGCGTGGCCAGGACAGCTGTATGTCAGTCTTATATTACAGTGCAGGACGACAGGAGTACGCACATACCTAACATCCTAGACAATCCAACACACCTAGCAGTTGGGCCGACTTCGGGAACACAAGCGTTACACCTCACACAATCCGTGGACAGCGAATCGCATTCGCCAAAGATGAGCGGAACAGAGACACACGACCGCACTCTACGAACATGAGCAGCGGAACAGGCGGGTCGTGTGGGGCGACGACGGGACCGGGTCGAGTTATAAATAAATCAGCGATATTCAGTACAGTAAGCGTAAAGGTCTGGACATCATAGGAGGGGCAGACAAAGAACGGAAACCCTCCTGTGAGTAACTCAGCGAGCAGGGGGCGGCGGGCAGGAGGGGAGGAGGAGGGGACGATGGGGATTAGACGGGTTGTGTGCGGGGAGGGACGGGGAGGGCGGGATGGTAACATACTATTGGCGCGATGACATCGGGCGCGACGGAAGATGAACAAGAGTGTCCGTGCCTCGACGAGACGGGGCGCACCGGCGAGAGTCC